GCAAAAAACTAATTTGCATTAGTATAATGTATAGTGTATAAAATGATTGAAAAAAGGTTTATTCTTCAATCATCATATAATTAAAAGCATTTACGTCACTCTCTGTCTCTGTAGAGCCCGAGAAACCAAAGTCACCGGAGGTGGATGCTTCAAAGGTGAGTTGAAGGTCTTCACACCGCGTCTCATGACCCACAGTGACACAAGCTTTAGATTGTATCTGCAGGAAGAGAAGCACATCGTCAGGGACATCCTGTGCTGAGTTAAACACTACTTTACTTTTTCACTTACGTCTGTCTGTTCACAGAGAGAAGAGGAAGCTGCTATAGTTGAGAGCGTCGTGGCTGAGGATCACGCAGTCCTTCTGAAATCAGTCAAGAAACGTAAGTTATAACTAGTTTTTAAGTTCACTTTAAGAAAGCAAAGTTCCATTGATGATGCTAATTGGATAAGATGGATGATTAAATGTCCCAAATTCTTTCAGTCAAGAGAAGAATCTAAATTTTAGAGACTAATGAATCCATTAACTTTGTCTCCAACCAACAGCAACCAAGAAGAAAGCCGGAGCCAAATCCAGTTCAGAGGATGAAAACAGCCCGAGTGCAACAAGGAAGGTTAGCGGCTGGTTTTTATGCATTTACAAATGGAAAAAAAATGCAACTCAGTGTTGATTTGATCTTTGAATATGTGGAATGTTGTTCCTGATTTAGGGGAAAGCTACAAGAAAGCCCCCAACTACATCAAAAAGAGCAAAGGCCCTGGCAATCAGCAAGCAGAACACCTCCATCAGACGGTACGACACCATCTTCCCCTGATTTTTACAAACCCCCCCCCCCCCTTCTGTATTTTGCCGTGAATGTGACACTAAACATGTGTGTGGATTCAGATCGAGCAGGAAACCTCTGGTGACGCCTGCCAGGAGCATGATGGATTCTTCCTTGATGATGGGACCCACTCCCCTCGTCACGCCACGCTTCGACCCCAGGTAAACGTTAGCGTTGGACTCTTTCAGGATTTTCAGTGACCAGCGTCGATACTAAGGCCGGCGATAAACTTGCTCTTTGGCCGTGTGTTCATGTGACAGCCAGATGCGTTGTGAGTGTGATTGTTCACACACTATGGGCACTGGAGACTTGTTCGAGCAGCTATCACGCTAATTTGAAATGCTCTCGTAATGGGCCATCTTGTGCAATTTACTCTCTCGTAGCTCGTGTGTTCTTTTCAAAACCGGAGACATTATCTTCAGCGAGGGGCTCACATTACTCACCACGACTCTCCCCCCCCCCCCCCAGGCTTCCTAAGACCCCTGCTGTGAGAGTTCCCCGCCACAAAGAGAGGGTCTATAGCATTTCAGTCAATGGCTCTCCCATTGCAGCAGGAAACGAGGACATCGTCATCAACGTCCCCATTGGCAACGGAGAGGTGAGCGTACAATGAGCCGGACTCTGGCTCCAGGTCCTACAAGATAATGTTTTATTGAAGTAATAAATTGTCATAAACCAGGAGAGACAACGAAAGAAATCCAAGAAAATCTGACGTTTTTAATATTAGCATTATGATAATATAGTGATAATTCAGTTGTGAAACGAAGATTGATCCTGTTTTTTAATGTTGAGGTTTTACCTGTGGGTTGTATTTGTGGATTCATCAAGACCTTTGCTGTAGACTGACTGACTAACACTTTGTCTTGTGTTGTGTTGGACCAGAGCGTCCAGCTGTTGGCCAGTCAGATGGACTCAGTCGATCTGTCGCTGCTGGATGAAACTGCCCTGAGGAGCATTCGGCTGCTGAAGGTACAGTGTATTGATCACGTCTGCGGGGCTTTTTGTGCACCGTCACTCTGGAGCCTCTTTTCTCATCACCTCTGTTTTTTCTGCCTCTCTCTTACAGAATCGCCTCACAACACTGTGCGGAAAATCAGAGTGACCGACGCGTCTACTGCTCTGATTTTTTTTTTTTTTTTTTTCTGATGTCATTGGTTTGAAGGGGACGGCTGGATTTTAGTAGTTCTGTCTTTGCAGCTTTTATAAGATTATTTGACTGTTTATTCTTTGCTTCTTTTGTAAATACACTACATTTTTTTTGTTTCCACTCTATCTTTCTATACAGTAGCTCACGTTTCCATTGTTAGCGCAAATGCATACGTCATGTAAATACTTTCATCTTTGTCTGCAAAACTGATAAAGGGTTTTGTTGAGCAGTTCTTTGTGATGTGTTTTTTTTGGGATTCAAACTCGATGGTTGAATAAGAATAATGAGTGCATGGTTTTCAATGGGTCTTAAAAAACAGGTCCAAATTATATCAACGTTCATTTAATGCTTCTTCCATTACACTAAGAGAAATGTTTTGGTGGAGTATTGTCTCCATGTGTAGTAGTTCTTTCTCAGTTACTCACATTTTAACATGAAATTAAACTACAGATCGACAGGTAACTGATAATTGATGTTCTTCCATATCTGTTGCACGTGACATACGTCTTACATTTGACTCATTACGATCTTAAAAACCATGAAATGTTTAGCTGGTGAAACCTGCAGAAACCCTCTGCATGGAGGAGTAGCTCCCGACTGTGCCCCCACAGATTCACGGACAGTTCAAGCCTTTCCAAACTGGCTGTACCTTTGCATAGTGACCACTAAGTGGCAGCATTTCACCACAGGAAATGAGGTGTCATTGCTTCTCCTCATTATTAACAGTAGTCAAACAAATCATTGTGTTCACGCCTTAAAAATAGTGATTTGAGCCGTGTCAATTTTCTGCATCAACTTTCAACACAGTCTTTATAGTTTGACACTTTAGTGGTGGAATATTTAAATGTACCATGTGTCCATTTCAATGCAAAATATTCAAAGCTAAAGGAGACAATGAAAATCGCTGTTATCATGAGATTTATTTATGGTTCTGGTGATTTACAGGTTAATAAATCTGCCTCAAATCATTAAAAAAAAAAAAATAGATCAACAGAGCTGCCACCTCCTGGCACTGGAACCAGCACTCTGACTTTCTCCTGTGTGTGATTTCCCCTCTATAGACGATCAAACTCCAGCTTTTGCTTGTGTAAGAAGTTCCTCTTGTCCTTTTCGCGACTTTGTTTACACAGAGGGACATTAGCGAGTCACGTGACCTGCTGTTGGCAGGAAGTGGCAGCCTTTCCCACTCCTGGCACGGGAACCTGCACTCTGACTTTCGGGGGACATCATAACGCTGCCAATTAGAAGTCCATTAAGGTTCGTTAGGCCTGATGAGCTTGTTAGGGTCCCCACCTGGGATGATGAACTGGGTCAGACCGGGCTTCACCTTGAGGCCCAGACAGACGAGCATAACTCTTCGTTATTCCCGTCGGATTCTCATGCATCATATGCTACAGAGCCCCTCCATGGAAACTCTGTGCCCCGAGCTGAAACTGGGCCTAGCACCTTCCATCTGTATCCATCTTCAGCGCTTTATCATCTGCCGTCTCTCGCTGTGCAAACTGTGTTGCAGAGGCAGAAAACCCAAACTCTGCATCCCCACAAACGACAGATGTTGTGGTCAGTGGTGCATGCAGTGCGGCTCCCTCGTTAGCGGAGCACCAAGCCCTCGTGCACCTGCTCTACATATCATAGAATTTTCCTCGCATTGCCTCTGAATGGATTGGATTCTTTTTTTATTCTCTAGGTGGGTGGAAAATTGCCATTTTGCACGGATGGCTTGGTTTTCAGTAAGCACGCAGGCAGTGGCACGGTGACAGGTGCGGTATGGATGGGGCGGATTTTGAGGTCACAGAGCAACACTGCTACATAAATCATCCGCGGAGATGTTTAGGATGAGGGACTGGAAGCCGAGGGAGAGACGCAGGACAGAGATGCTTTGGCACAACTGACTCTACGTTGGCATTATTCTGTACTGTTTTATTACTTTGCAGTGTCTTTCAGCTCATTGTTTTGGTTTTACGACTCATAATTAAACAGTTTGGTTCATTAATTAAAACCGTTTCCAGGAAAGAAGCTCATTCAAACTCGGCAGCTAAAGAATTGAACAATTAACAGGTGCAGAGCTGGGTATTGTTTTTCTGCCCAGGATTTTGTTGTCTTTTGTTCAACCCACCAATCCCATCTCTAAAACCCAAACCCCGCCTGACTCCACCCGCCCTCACAGTCTCATGTGCGTCCGACACACACTTGCAGTATTCCTTTACAAAGCCCTCCTACCCCCAACCCCCTCCAGCTGCTGGAGCCGTTGGTTAATTGAGCCCCCAGACCCGCAGAAACTGCCAAATTTTTTTTCGCCAAGACGAATGAACGCGGCCGAGGCAAGTTCTCCCAGCGAAATCAATTATCTGATGCGTCGAGGCCTCCTAAAAATCCCATCCGTCAAGTGCGCCGCTAATCGATTTATTCATGTACCCACACCTTCGTCTGCCATTGTCCCTCACTCAATTCATATCAAGTCAGCCAGGGGTCGAGACTCATCTGTTGCTAATGTTGGTTTGTCAGCACAAACTTAAAAAAAAAAAAAAAAGTGGCACTGAACACTTCTGTTCCTTCTGCTTTGGTGATTGAGACACAAAGTGATGGTGAAGTGAAGTGGCGGTGAGGAGGAAGAGGCAAATGGGACTGAACCCCCACATGATGCATTCTGGGCATGTGTTCACCTGGTGGCCAGCAGGGCCCTTATGATGTTTTGATGGGCGGCCCCTCTGTTGCTCAGGGCCCCCCCCCCCCGACGATGGGGGAGGTAGAGAGGAACATCTGCTGCCAAAGAAAACCTTCGCGGGCCCTGAAATTTACGAGCTGCTCCGAGGAGAGGCAGGAGGTTAATTCCACTCACTGATTGCACAGAGGTAAACTTCAGCTGGAGGAGCTCGACGGTGGCTCTGAAATACAGACTTCTGTCTACCAGCGTTTGTTTGCACACTGACATTGAACCTGACTCTGTGGTTCGAGGAAGTTCTTAACGTTCGAGGGTCATGTGTAAATGAACTGATCTGATTTGTGGAATTGTCATGTTTGAACAGATGGACGTTTCCACACAGGAAATCCAACCAAAAAGGAAAAGGCCAAATTTTCTTCAATGGAAGATTTGTCACTTCCTGTATATTGTTCCGAGCCCTGTCATTATAAATGTGGGGGCGTGTGAGTGAATGTTACGTACAAAGTCTTTCGGAATCAGTCCGTTAGAATGTTAAATTCAAATTGTTATCTCCCCACCTTACACATGTTTTATTCAAAGAGAAGTCTCACTCTCAGCCCTGCATCCGCTAATCGTCCCTCCTCTACTTGTGTCACGTTGCTCGAGTCCCACGAGACTCAGGTTGTTGCAGGAAGACGAAAGAG